AGAACAGGTTCTGAAGGCGTTAGAACAGGTTCTGAACGTGTTGAACAGGTTCTGAACGTGTTAGAACAGGTTCTGAACGAGTTGGAACAGGTTCTGAACGTGTTAGAACAGGTTCTGAACGTGTTAGAACAGGTTCTGAACGTGTTAGAACAGGTTCTGTGCTGTGAAGATTTGAGCCTCACTAAACCTTTTTTATGAGGGGTTGTGTGGTGTGATTATGAACAGTCAGTATCTTACCTGCAGCAGTTGGTGTAATCTCAGTTTGGAGAAGTAAAAGTCATTCTGTTAGTGATCTGATTTGAGGATCAGTTGGAGCACAGCTGGACTGTCAGGAGGAGGATCCACAGATCTGACAGGAATCAGGTCTGGCCTGAAGAAACCTACAAATATCAGCTCCTTTGTTTTTCCACACAGGGTCAGCTTGGTCAGGATAGCTTTATCCTAAATTAAATCTTTTTTTATTTTATTTTGTACGTTTTTGTCTGATGTGGAAAAACAAGAATATTGTAAGGGGATGAATACTTTTTCACTCTAAACAGGACCAGTTAAACCAGTTAAAGATTCAAGACAACATCTACACTACAGATATTTTTAAAAATGCTTCATTTTTTTTCTCAGTTTATCTGTCCACAGATTTTAACAAACTGTTGAAATACTATGAGATTAAGAGTTTTTCTCAGTCTTTTAGGCACAAATCTAATCTCATAAAATACCCAGAGTGCATCAGTAGGTGGCAGGAAAGTGCACTTCACCAACAGATCAAAGCACAGAACACGTTCAGAACCTGTTCTAACACATTCAGAACCTGTGGCTGATCCACTCCCTGCAGGAGATGTGATGTTTCTGCAGAAACAATAGAATTCATTTCAACAACAGCTAAAGGTTTATAAAGTAATGTTGGCAGGAAACTGTTAAACTCTGAGTCGTTCATCAGAATTAAACTCAGAGTTACTGAATATGTTTAAAGAGCTATCTACAGCAGGTAAGATAATAACTGTTCATACATTTTACCACACAGCTCCACTTTCAAATGACTGAATTTTTCAAGACGTGATCCTAATCATTACCTCTTAAAACCAGTTCACATTATTTCCTCTCATTCTGTAATCCTGTCTTTATTTATGTCTTAAATCTGCCTGTTTTTGGTAAAATCACACGTTAAACTCGTCTGTGCTGGACACAGATAATAAAAGTCAACTCTTTATTTTTATTTAATAAAAATGCACTTGGTTTTATAAAAATGTAGCATTTATACGTTTTGTATTGTTTTATTTGAACACATTTTACATAGTGAATTAAACAGTTTTGATATGAAACCTTGTTTGATTTGTGAAGTGAAACTTGTTAAATGTGTGTCAGTCAGCTGCTGGGAACCAAACACACGATCAGTGTTTGAAAGAAACTACGTGTTATAGTGCAGCCGCACTGTCAGCATGTCTGTCTAATTGCAGAATAACTGTGTGTGTGTGTGTGTGTGTGTGTGTGTGTGTGTGTGTGTGTGTGTGTGTGTGTGTNTAGAACAGGTTCTGAACAGGTTCTGAACGTGTTAGAACAGGTTCTGAACAGGTTCTGAACGTGTTAGAACAGGTTCTGAACATGTTAGAACAGGTTCAAAACAGGTTCTGAACATGTTAGAACAGGTTCTGAACGTGTCAGAACAGGTTCTGAACGTGTCAGAACAGGTTCTGAATGTGTTAGAACAGGTTCTGAATGTGTTAGAACAGGTTCTGAACGTGTCAGAACAGGTTCTGAACGTGTCAGAACAGGTTCTGAACGCGTTAGAACAGGTTCTGAACGTGTTAGAACAGGTTCTGAACGCATTAGAACAGGTTCTGAACGTGTTAGAACAGGTTCTGAACTTGTTAGAACAGGTTCTGAATGTGTTAGAACAGGTTCTGAACGTGTTAGAACAGGTTCTGAACGTGTTAGAACAGGTTCTGAACGTGTTAGAACAGGTTCTGAAGGCATTAGAACAGGTTCTGAAGGCGTTAGAACAGGTTCTGAACGTGTTAGAACAGGTTCTGAATGTGTTAGAACAGGTTCTGATTGTGTCAGAACAGGTTCTGAACGTGTCGGAACAGGTTCTGAACATGTTAGAACAGGTTCTGAACGTGTTAGAACAGGTTCTGAATGTGTTAGAACAGGTTCTGAAGGTGTT